GCTCACTTCCAGGTTAACATTTAACTAGCCTGCGCTGAGCTTTTAATAAATTCTAAGTCATGTGCGGAGCTCCTGCCTGGTGGCCCCAGGATATGAGTGTAGACTGTGTGAATCCAGACCCTGGCTCTAAGGCCGGAGAAGGAGGCACAGTGGTGGGACTGCAGGTGAATAAGTATGTGGATTTCACTTATGTGTGGAATCTGAAAAACAAACAAAAAAACAGAAACAAACCTAGAAATATAGAGAACAATTTCATGGTTGGTGGATGGGAGGGGGATTGGAGGAATTGGTGAAAAGGGGGAAGGAACTGAGATGTGCAAATTGGTGTTTACAAAATAGTCAGGGGGATGTAAAGTACAGCACAGGGAATATAGTCAATAATTTTGTAATAACGATGGAAGATGAGACCTGGTCTGTAATAATCCAATCCTGGCAATTTTCACCTCTACCTCCCGTTCCAAACTATGTGTTTCTGCTTACAGTGTCTCCTCACACTCTCCCACTTCAAACAACTCTTTCCTTAACATAGATCTGTTTATGTGACCAAAAGCCTTTGGGTGACACCCTAAAGAATATACTATAGAACTACATGTATGATACTTTCCCCTCTCAAGAACCTAGGAGACCATTATGTAACAGAATTAAACCCAAACTGTGGACCTGTCGGAAAGCTGGGGGACAGGGAGGGAGCTGATTTTGGTTCGGATACACTGATTTTCTTGTTCCCTGTTCTCACAACACCTCGTATCGGATTGCACGGTGAGTGACTTGATCCCAGGGTAGGTGCAGTGAAGGGATGTAATTAGCCTATTAAGTTCTGCTAATGTCCTGGAAAGTCATTCAGGTGAGAACGGCAGGTATATCAGTTCCCACCTTGGACCCTGCCTCCACTGGGAGCATTACATTTGCACATGCTGTGTCTGGTTCCCACCGTAGGCGTCAGCTGAGAAAGCAGGGTGTGGCCTGCTCTGTTTCTTCCAATCAAGACGCCATGAAGAGTTTCTAGGGTGTGTGTGCCTAGGACTGCACTTTACCACTCCCCACATTCTAGAGCTTCCCCTCTGCATTCGGGGGTTCAGACTGCAGAAATCACGGCTTTATCACTCTTACTCCAGTATATACTCATCCACGTACTAAAATGATCAGTTGTTTAGTTGACTCACAGTAAATATAGTGCATCTGGCATAGAGAGTTGTTTGTTGTTTTTTTTGTGTCTGTGTTTTGTTTTGTTTTGTTTTTGTTTTTGGCGGGGAGGAGGGATAGAGGGAGTTGTTCTTTTATTTTCTTTTTTGTTCTTTTCTTTTCTTTTCTTAAGGGAAAAAAGAACACATGGCTTATTTTTCTAGCAGTCTGAGAAACCAAGGAACCAGATTCACCCATTTTTATGATCGATATTTACTTAAGCACTTCCTTTGTTCCGGGCACTTTGGGGAACCTGGGCACTTCAGCTTTGAACAATGCAGAAAAGGTGTCCTTTCTCTGAGAAGCTGATGGTCTCAGTGTGTCAGACGTGCCAGTTTGGGAATTGTGTTGGAGGGGAGGTCATGCTGGGCAGGGGGTAGGCTAGAATAAGGAAGAGGATGATGAAGGAAATGGGAATAAGGAAACAGTTGGGTGGGATGGATGGAAAGATTGGAGGAAAGTCGGGGAAATGAGAGGCTAAGGTATGAGATGGAATACCACAGACATTGTCATCATTAGCTCCCTGCTAATGGTATGTAGGTTGTAAGAGACCTCCATGTACATTTTAACCAAAGAATTTGTCCAGAGTGGTAGGTGTTGTACTTTTCTAACACTTTTGCATTCATAGATAAGCTTGTAAGACGTTCACGTTTTAAAATCAGATTGCTATTTTTGACTTGAACCATGCCTGTACGGTATTTCTGAACATCACTGTACATAAGAAGGTCTGGAGGAGTCTGTTTTGGACAGATGCCTGGGCCTAGCCACAGAGAGTCCAATTGCTACAGGACTGAGCTAGGTAGGTCACAGAATCCACGTTTCTTAAAGCGCGCCTGTCTGGTGATTCTGAACATATCCAGGTTTGGTGGCCACCAAGTTAAATCATATCATAGAGCTTTAAGTGAAACCATATTATAATTCCCTTAAGTGAAACTATATTACAGATTGCCTTAAATGAAAGAAACATTTTAGCATAAGTTATTTCATATTTAGGATTATTTGAAAAGATAACAAAGTGGGGCTAACTTTCAGAATTAGAAAAATCTCAACTTGTTCTAGCAGGAATTTTTATATAGCGTACTGGGTTTCTTTTCATTTTCTTTCTCCTGGTGTCTGAATAAAGAATGTTATCATTCTGCAGCTGACCCTGTAGTGACTTAGAAGTCGCCTCATCACATTTCGGGAAAACTATGTATGTAGAATCTATGCCTATCTATTTTTAGGTAGAAAGTCCACTTTTTCTTTTTAAATAGTCATATATTCTTTTTCTGAATTTAGTAGTAAATACATGCCTTTGCCACGTTCAGCCTTCTTTGCATGGTTCCTTATGAATCTGTCTTATTCTCTTCATCCCTAGAGGAACTATATCTCAGTTGTCTTTATATTTCTGAAGTCTTAGCATAATAACTTATTAAAATAAATATTTGATGAATAAATGAATATGAGATTGAAGTTAGAAGTGACACATTAAATTGTTACCTCTCTGATCTCTGTATTATTCTTTAAGCATCATCTGGGGATAATGATATGTAGCATTAATAAAAAATAAAATGATGCTCTGAGATTTATAGAAGCTCATAAAGTGTCAAATCCAGAGCAATTCATTTTTTTCCCAGCAAGCCCCCATAAATCCAGGCCACGGAATCGGTATGCTGATCTTGCCACATCCAGGTCTCTTCCTTCCCAGCTGGGCTCCTGGGGCCTCCTCCTCGCTTGGCAAACACTAACTGGCGCTCACTGGATGCAGGTCTGAAAGAGGTAGTAAGAGCCTAGCACCCGGTCTACCCCAAACTTTCAACTGTAGAGTGTTTGGAGGTGCACTGTAGTGCCCTGGTAGATACTGTCAGGATTAACCTTGAGTGCACTAGACATTTTCCTAGTACCAGAGAGTCATTCATTTACTGGCCACCAGACACTGTGAGCCCATGTGATGGAGTATGACATTAATTTAGAAACCATCCCTGACATCAAGGAGTTCATGATCCAGTTGGAGAACAAAATAAATATAAATGATAAATGTTATGATGGAAGAAGTGTACCCTGCAGAGCACATAGAAGGGGCCATTGACTAAGAACTGAGAAATCAGGAAAGGCTTCCTGCAGGAAGTGGCATCTGAGCTATGAGGTGAAGGGTGAATCTGCACTGTCTGGTTGCAGTGGTGAGAGGGCTCTGATTCTGGTGAAGGAACAGCAGAAGGTGGGGGGATGCAGGGAGCATTTAGGGGACTGCGTGTGCTTCCATGTAGCTGGAGGATAGGAGCCAGATGAGAAAAGAGCCTTTATTCCATATAAGTGAGTTTGAACTAGATAATTCTTGAAATGATGGGATCCATCAAAGACTTTGGGGCAGAATATGCAATATTGAGAGATTAGCCATAGAAGCATGCAGTTGGAAATCCCCTACACTCTATCTTTTTAGCAAATTGCACCCGGCACCAGAGAAAAACTTGCCATAGCTACCATAGCTACAGATGATCACTTATGAATCCAGAATGAATGTTAAGAACCTAACAAGCTAAATGAGAAGATACTCAAAGTCCATGCATCTGCATGTTGGGGATGGCATATACTACTTGGTTGTGTTCGTAGGTAAGGGGCTTGTTATTCAATAATATTTTTACGAAAAGAGGACCCTGACAATCTTGGTCTGTCAAAGACCAAGGTCACCTTATTCAAGTGACATAAAAGCCACTTGACTGGGCTGAAAGTGTTTTCCCAAAACCGATTTCAGAGTTTCTTCCCTAATGGCTTCTGTGAATTTAGGCTGAAGTGCTCTAATGGTACATTAGGGAAGGGCCGTAAAACCTGAGAGTGGAGGACCAGGGTAGTCGGCACAGCATCCCTGTTCTCTGATTGAGGGGCACTGCCTACAGTATTTGTTTCAGCAGAATTTTGAAAACTCTATACGCTATTCCTCTAAGTCAGTGGTTCTCAACCTGTGGGTCACGAACCCTTTGGCAGTTGAACGACCCTTTCACAGGTGTTGCCTAAGACCATCCTGCATATCAGATATTTACATTATGATTCATAACAGTAGCAACATTACAGTTATGAAGTAGCAACGAAAATAATTTTATGGTTGGGTCACAACATGAGGAACTGTATTTAAAGGGCCAGAAGGTTGAGAACCACTGCTCTAAGTAGTTATCATGAAACTACTTCCTTTACTGGAAGAGGGCGGGTTTTGTTCCCTTCTAGGGATTTAAGGATCTCACCAAAGCACGGTAGACTGGTCCAAATCTTTTAATCAACCACCTTCACCCCTGGAATAATATTTATTAAGTAACTAGAGAATTATAGCATCGTCCTAAGGGAAATTCTTATCTCTGCACATTTAAAATAAACTCGCATTATAGACCTTTTTTGCTTCTTATTTTATAGAGTCTTTACATTCATCCCAGATTTACACAGATGAAAATTGGTGTAAATGATAATTAGTACTACTACCTTATGACAATTTAAATGCCCCGTATGACCCTATGGAGCAATACTTACATGCTTAGATATCATATGCTATAGAAATGAAGAGTCTGAGCTTTGGAATGAGAGAGACCCAGGCTCAGAGCCCAGTTCTTCCATTTCCTATCTCTGACCCTGGGCTAAGTTACGTAACTTCTTTAAGCCTTGGCTTTCTGATCTAGAAATTGGGGGCGTTCATGGTCATTGTCTCATAGATTCACTGTGAGAATTTAATAAGATTGTGAGTAATGAGGGGCCAGTACATAATTTCAACCCTACTTAGCATTCTTGAGTACTTTTTCCTTTAGTTATGTTTGTTTTATTGTAAGCAACTTTCTCTTTTCTTTTTATTCCCCTAGGGATATGAAGCCTGACAATATTTTGCTTGATGAACATGGTAAGTGAATGATTTGTTTGCAACCAACTAGACTTGTATATAGAACAATAATGATTATCCCCAGCTAAGGAGTATTACATGTAGAAAAGGTGTCTTGCTTGATTGACTTGAGTTACATGTACAAACTCCATTTTATTTTATTTCTTTTAATTCCTCACCCAAGGATATGTTTTTTAATGCTATGAGAGAGAGAGAGAGACAGACAGACAGACAGACAGACATTGATGTGAGAGGGAAATATCTATCGGTTGCCTCACACACATACATGCCCCCAGTAGGAATGGAACCTGCAAGTCTTTGGTGCACAGGATGACGCTTCAACCAACTGAGCCACACTGTCCTGGGTACACACTCCATCTTATAAGTGGGAGGGATAACCTGAAGAAACTTTAGTATTTCCAGCAGTGGGGTAGTACCCCAATATACCCTACATAACACTGAATTCACATAATGAGAAAGTAACTCTCTTTTCCATGTCCTTCCACTCCAACTCATTTCTTCAAGGAAACCATTACAGTATTTGCTGCTGGTTTGCCTTACTGTCTTTATGACCATCATCCCCCTTTTTTAATAAAGATGAACAGGCCTCAAACTTAGAGCATTAGGCAGGCAATGGTATTTCCCTATAAATCTGGAACACTATTTTGTTGGCATGGCACCCACTTTTATGCTTTCCTTCTTAGGAGGGCAAATTGGTTTTACATTTGCAGAGGAGATATCAAGTTTTCTGTTCAAAAAATCAACCAGGGTTCTGGCCAGGTATCTCAGTCAGTTAGAGCCTCATCCCAATACACCAAGGTTGCAGGTTCAATCCCTGGTCAGGGTACATACAAGAATGAACCAATGAGTGCATAAATAAGTGGAACAATAAAAATAGATGTCTCTCTCTCTCTCTCTCTCTCTCTCTCTCTCTTCCCCTTCTTCCCTCTTTTGGAAAAAAAATATAAAGTAGATGACAGTATATGTGGTACCCAGATAGAAACATGATATAGAGATATGGGAAGAACCAGGAAGGTGAAAAAATGAATGCCAGAAGTTCAAAAAACACTGATTAAAGATACCCTGTAGAACAAGCTTTTGCCAACAATGATTAAATGTGTCTATTCTCTTTCTAATATTTATTTGAATGCACATTTGGATTTATTGGTCCATCAGAGCAGACTATAAGTCATCAATGTTACAGTGGCAATAAGATCCTCGTTCTTTTCAGAAAGCTGCTAGATGAGTCATGAATCTGCAAAGCTCCTTATTCATGTGACTTTAACAGAAAGGACTTGCAAGTGGGACTGAAACTCCAAGTACCATCCATTGCTCGCTATTTTTTTAAATTTTGTTTTATTGCTTAAAGTATTACAAAGAGTGCTCATTATTTATTTACCTAGTTGCATTTGAACCTGATTTGCCAGACCCCACCTGTTCTCAGAGAGCTAAGAAACACTTGTGCGTATGACCTCTAATTTCCAGGCTCAGGGTCATTATTTATTTACAGACTGTCTGAAAAGATTTTTCCACTTTCAATGCCTTCTTTCTTCCTTCCCTTCACTGCTTCTGACATTTGGGAACAGATTCTCTGGATTTCAGAAATGTGAGCAATGGGGAGACTTAGCATGAAGGTGACTTTTGTTAACACACCAGCTCTCCCTGGTGCACATAAACTCTACGGAGTTCACAGTTGTGGAGAGGGCCTCCCCTAGCCTATAGGGGCCACCTTTGCACAATTTAGAAAAAGGTGCTTCATCTGCCCACCACAGTCTCATGAAAGTGCATGGCTGGCTGGTCAAGCAGAACCCAGGTTGGGGTTCTGTTCCACCTGTCCTGGTTGTCCTTGTTTACAATATATTGCTCTACCATTCATTGAGGCTCTGAATGGAGACATACAGGTGCTGTCAACCAAAACTTGTTCAAGATTTACCTTCCATTTCAGAGAACAGTGTTTTAATCTGAGATCTCAAACATGGTTTCATCCTAATTTTACCATGAGGTCGTTCTGTCCTCTCGCATTCAACATCTTTCACCTCCTCATGGTTTCTTGCCAACTTGGTGATTGTAGGTTGGGAGAAAGGTCCAGAAATAAATGAATCTATAAGTTTAAGCACCCTTAGAGACTATCCTTATGAAAGATTAATTGTGGATTCTGGAACCAGATTGATGAAGTTCCAAACCAAAGAAGATGTGATACATATATACAATGGAATACTACTGAGTCCTAAGGAAAGATGAAATATTGTCACTTGTGCCAACATGGATGGATCTTGAGAATATCATGCTAAGCAAAATAAGTCAGATGGGAAAAGTCAAGAACCGAATGATTTCACTCATATGTGGGATGTAAAACTGAAAGCAACAAACAAACAAGACAAGACAAAAAACACACACAAATTCATAGACACAGACAACCATATGTTGGTTACCAGAGGGAAAGGGGGGGTAGTGGGGGTAGAAGAGGGTAAAGAGGGTCAAATATATGGTGACGGAAGGAGACTTGACTTTGGGTGGTTAACACAATGAAATGTATAGATGATGTATTATAGCATTGTACACTTGAAACCTGTATCATTTTATTCATCGATGTCACTCTGATAAATTTAATAAAATAACAATTCACCCACTCACTTGCACAGAGAGGGTCAACAGGTTGCCTAAACTTCCTTTGCTACCTTAGTTTCTCCAGGGATAAAAAAAATATGTTTATTTCTTAGGCTCATTGTAAAAACAGACTGACATACTATTTATAAAGTGCTTGATTGCAATATCTACCAGAAGGAAATCACTCGATAAAGGTTAAATGTTAGTATGAATCCATGAGTAGTAGGGGCTTTCTCCCCTCGGAAGGAAGTGTCGACTACTTCATCTTGTTTTATGTTGCTGTATCTCTATCAGATGGTCAGTGAACACTGGGTCCTTACCTGTCTTTACTAAAGAATTATTTTTATTCTAGAAGGGATATACCCAAGAGTCCATGTGTCTATTTGTTAGGTCTTGTGTGTGTGTGGCGGTGGGGGGGTGGGTTCTACTTTTTTAAAAATTAATTTCAGAGAGGAAAGGAGAGGGAGAGAGAGATAGAAACATCAATGATGAGAGAGAATCATTGACCCTGCACACCCCTACTGGGGATCGAGCTCTCAACATGGGCATGTGTCCTTGACTGGAATCAAACCTGGGACCCTTTGGTCTGCAGGCCGATGCTCTATCCATTGAGCCAAACCAGCTGAGGCTAGGTCTTGTGTTTAAACAATACTGTTGAACCCTAATTCTCAGGTAACTACACTGTCAATGGCCCATCATGCTTTCCTTTGTATATGCAGGGAGCTAAACCCACTTTTCAGGTAAGTATCCAGTGTTCACTGACTATCCGATACAGAGACATAGCAACATAAAAAAGATGAAGTAAATTTCCTTCCCCAGGGCATTGTATTCTTGGCAGGGCGGGGTTCAGTTGCTTAGGGACATCCCAGTCATCCCAGTCAGCCTGGGGGACGGTCCCAACTACACTAGTGTATATTTACAATGACCTCTTTTCTCTTTCAAAGTTTTGGGTTTGGATAATAAATTAATATGGGGATTTCTGTATTATTATATTTCATTCTGAACTCCATTTGAGAATCTTTGCGGTTAATAAGAGAAACATTGCTTAAGGATTAGATATGTAAATGGATAAAAGCAAACAAACAATATTGAGAGCTCTTCTATAAACATTGTTTTGGGATCCCTTTCTGGGGAATATTTTTAAGGTTATTTACATTGTATTTATTCAGATTCTGAAAAACTAAGGCTTTCAGGCATTTCCCAGGGACCATAATTAACCACTTTTAAATAAACCAATTCCTGGTAAGCCCCCACCCTGAGCTCAGCATGTAGAGTTGCTCTTGGGAGAACCAACTGAACTGCAAATCAATGCCTGCCTTTTGGAGGGTCTTTCTGGTGTGATTTTTCCATGTTTCATTTATCCTCTCTGTCCACATGTATATTTCGCCCCAGACAGGCCATCACATGCACCTCTTACCCGGGGATTTTAGCAACTGGGAAGGATAATTGCCTATTTCTGATCTGCCTCCCATGCCCATTCCTCTAAGTGAGCTGTGTATGATACTGCATTGCTTATATATATTCATTCAGCACCAAGCAGAAACGTTGTTTTATTCTCACCGATTCATCTTGGTTCATAATCATCAGAAAAGATTGATATTTAAAGGAGCAAAATCTTTTCATAAAGTGGAGAATCTTTCCATGGTGTGAATAAACATTCCCTGCACATCAGAATTTGCCTTTAAATATGTTTTAATTTAGAGGATACCAGCTGCTGTTCTCCCCCAATGTCTCACTCACTGGTTCAGAGCCCGAGAAGGCATTAGACATTGGATGGCCCCTAACCAGTTGTCCTGATATATATTTTTTCATATCCTGCCAATTTAAGCACCCCAACCAATTCCATCAATTTCCTAGTGTCTAAAATTCTTGTGCTTTTAAGTTATCTGGGAAATAAATGCTGTGTCGGGAAGAACAATACTGTCTGCCTGGTATATCTGACAAAATAAAATTATGGCATCATCTATAATGTAGGCTTCTTAATATCATCCTAGTCCTGGGGAACAGTGAAAGGCAAAAACTTAGTCTGTGGGTGTGAAAAAGAACTAAGCTTGCTATCTTAATAGCTCCTCCCTTGAAGATCCCCAAAATGTGCTTAAAATCAAGATGGGCGATCATATTCACACACACACACACACACACACCACACACATACACACACATACCACATTGTCACACACACACCACACACCACACACACACCACACACACACACACACAGTACTTTATGTAACTCTGGAGTTTCTGATCATGACAAACAGCAACAGTTGAACACTTCCTACCAAATGCTGAGCTGTCTCCCACAGTCATTATTTCATTTGATCTTCCCAACAAGCTCACGAAAAGACTGTTATTACCATCCCACCTTCACAGAGAGATCAGCCACCTTTCTAAGATAACACAGCCTGTTAGTGATGGAACCTGGACTTAAAGCCAAATAGTCTGACCCCAGAGAACAGGCTCTCAACCACAGCGTCTCAAACCTTGTGAACCACTGATGCAGGGCCCTGAGCATGACCCCTAGGGAAACAGAGAGAGAGAACAAACTGAGACCACCTACACTGTGACAGGGTGAGTTGTGGAAGTCACCCACTGGTACCACTCAGGCCAGAAAACCTTACTTTTAGCTAGATGAGTGCTACTTTGTCTTAACATGGAATCACATAAGCAAACGCAAAACTGTGGGCATAAAACAAACCTTGGCAATAAAGGCAGTGACATTTATCTTTAGCAGCAGGCTGGATGCCATCAAAGAGTAGATATAAAGTTTGGCAGGAGGCGTATGGACTGAGAGACCTGGATGAAGAGTCAGATGGCATCCCCTCCAATTACAGCCACAGCTCATTGGAACCATGGAAGCACGGAAATGGAAATGCCAACACCTCCAGATCCTCTGACAGCCTATGACTTTCATGCCAACAGCTAACATAACGAGCTTATCTGCCCGAGCTCCTGGGGCTGCCCCTTTCTTCCTTCCCACTGTCGGTGCAAAGACTCCAATGCACTTCACAGATGTGCTCCCTGCTGGATTTAAGTGTTAGACCCTCACAGCAACGGCACGAATGTGAGAGCTGAGAGAGGCCCAGGCGATCAGCTAGTCCACCCACTCCATTCTTTGTGAAGGGAAACTCAGGTTCAATACAGGAATGGGACTTAAAGTCGCAATGTGTTAGGGGCAGAGGTCAAGGTAGGACACAAGTCTCCTGGGTCCCAGTCTAAAAGTCTTTCTACAACCTCTTTGTAAATAAAGCTTAACTGTTTCCCCTGCTTCCCCGTGGTGAGTTATTTTGTTGGGCACCGTTAGGGGGCATTATGACTTAACAGACAAAAAAAACAAACAAAAAAAACAACTACTAATGTTTCAGAAAAAACAACAACAACAAAAAAAAAAAAAACAAGGAGAAAAAGGGGTTCTTTCATAGCAAAGAAATAGATATACTAAGTCCTATGTCGTCAGGAGATTCTTGGAAACTGTGACTTTAAGCAAAATGACATATAAGGAACCCAGTTTTCCCATCGGCTAATTGACATAAGGAAGAGTTAGGTTCCTATAGCATGCTCTGGTCACAAAAGCATCACCAAGCCTAACCGGTTTTGCTCAGTGGATAGAGCGTCAGCTTGGGGACTGAAAGGTCCCAGGTTCGATTCCGGTCAAGGGCATGTACCTTGGTTATGGGCACATCCCAGTAGGAGGTGTGCAGGAGGCAGCTAATTGATGTTTCTCTCTCGTTGATGTTTCTAACTCTCTATCCCTCCCTCTCCCTTCCTCTCTGTAAAAAAATCAATAAAATATATATATTTTTATATAAAAGTATCACCAAATTTTTAAATAAAGACCCAAACACTTCTAATATTAAACACTGAAGTAAAGGTGAGCTATATATATATGATTGGCAATTTGATATTTTGCATGATTTTTCAACACACTTATGATACTCACAGGTTAAACCAAGTTAAAATGTCGTGGACACAAATTACCCAAGTAGAATTATGAGACCATGCGCTCTTACCCCGCCTCTCCCCCAAGTTAACACTTTCTGAAGCTGAACTGCAGACTTACAATCAGATACTCATCTTTGTGGACCATGTTCTGGCTCCCAGTTTGCTAGAGGGTTTGCTGATTGAAGAACATATTGATTTGAAGACAGACTGATTGAGCTTTCACTGCTGGTACCCAAAGCACAGAAGAATTTACAGACAAAGCTTCCAGTTAGAAGCATGGGTGTGCCACTGGGTTGAATGGACTTAACGTTCTCTGTGGTCCTTCTCTCCCGCCAGGGCACGTGCACATCACGGACTTCAACATCGCCGCCACGCTGCCCAGGGAGACGCAGATCACCACCATGGCCGGCACCAAGCCTTACATGGGTATGGGCTTCGGGGGCAGCTGTCTGGACTCAGAGCAAGGCATTTGTTTTCCATTCCTGTAGAGACCATTTATTACGCCCCAATCACCTGTAGGGACTTGCAGCTGGAAATGACAAGCCCCCCTCGACTACCTGGGGAGCTTCTGATTTCATGGGTCTCAGGTGAGCCTCGGGGTTCTCCATTTAGGAAGCACCCCATCGGAGGTTGATTCAGGAGGGCCACTCATCACCTTTGGAAAACACTATTTTATAGAGTTATTTAGGATGGCGTCTGCCCACTCCCTAACGAAGAATATTAATTCAGTAAATGTCTACTAATTGCCTCTGGGTCAGCGGTTCTCAACCTGTGGGTCGCGACCCCTTTGGGGGTCGAATGACCCTTTCACAGGGGTCGCCTAAGACCATCGGAAAACACATATATAATTACATATTGTTTTTGTGATGAATCACTATGCTTTCATTATGTTCCATTTGTAACAATGAAATTGGGGGTCACCACAACATGAGGGACTGTATTAAAGGGTTGCGGCATTAGGAAGGTTGAGAACCACTGCTCTGGGTGCGTGGTGCTGTATCAGGTGCTGGGGACCCTGAGGTGAGCAACACAGACCAAGTCTCCAGCCCATGGAGCTTACTTTCTGGTGGGAGGAGTTTAAACATAGAAGCAATCAGAGAAGCAGACGCAGACGTAAGTAGGATGCTAGTAAGCGACGAGTGTTATTATAACCACTATTTACATGATACGGCATTACATGCAGAGGGCTGTAAAGTTTAGAGTGCCTTACAGTTACAATTTTCGTTTTCACTTTATCACAATACCATGAGTTCTCCTTTTTGAAAGATGAGGAACTGGGTTTTACTTGACTATTTAAAATTTACCTAGAGTGAACAGATGAGAAAAAAATTAAAACGACATGCTTTTACCCTAATTAGTTGTGATGATTACAGTGGATGATGTCACTGGTTAAACTGGTGGCATTACATTAAGTCGGGGGTGGAATGAATTGTACTGGCTAGAGGTGGTCGGAGGAATTCACAGGCCCAGATATCTGCACGTGAAATCAAGGGCAAGGACAATGCCACTTTCTTTTCATATTTCATTCTTTTCCTCATGCAACTGAAGAGAGAAAGAGAGAGAGAACCCCCACGTGCAGGACTGCATCACTTTCTAAGAGAAAGAAATCTATGGCGGAAAATGAGCTTCATTTTATCCGATATTTGAACAACTGCACATGTTCTGGCTTCCAATTATCAGTGGAGGGAATAAATCTATTTTGTCATTTCTGAAGTAATGGACACATATAATTCAGCCTATTTTCTGCCTAAAACCCATGGTACTCAAATGATTTAAAGGACTATCCACGCCTGCTGGTCTGATGGGTTTAATTCTGCAGGTTACCTGGGTTTCCTTCCGTATCAAGGACTATTTTCTTGGAGCCAAACCAGACAATGTGCATCTGGGGTTTCTAGGCCTGGTTTCCATGGTGAGAGGAGGAAAGGGAGGCCACCTTTATTTTCTCTCCCCAGTAATTTTCAATACAAGATCCATATAATTTAATTCTCCTTGAAATTGACATGTCTAGTCTTTTCACCACATGGAGCTTAGAAATTGGAATCTGGACAAGGTTCTCTGTGCCTCTCCACCTTCACACTCATAATTAGCAATTACTAATATTTACAGAAAGCCTTCTGTGGGCCAGATGATGTGTTAAATGTTTTGCATTCATTTACTCATTCACTTTTTTTCCTCAACAATCGTACAGGACAGGTTATAATTATCCGCATTTTACAATGAGGAAAACAAGAAGCTAAGTGATTTGCCCAAGATCACGTGGCTAGTAATTGAAAATGGCCTAGATTAAATCAAGCTCTGTCTGACTTTAGACAATCAAGTTTCTTCCTGAAAGAGAAAAATTGTTAATGTTATTTGTGGTTCTTAAATGGTTGTAAGCCAATTTAAGTAGGCCAAACTGTTAGAATGGCTTCTTGTTTCTCTGTCCAGAAGTTGCCGTTGGCTTTGATTTTTGGATGGGAGTCTCTCTTAAGAAGTATTATGGGTGGAAATCATCTTTCTTTACAAAAAAAAATCTTGTTACCAAAACTTGGCAAAATCTGCCTCACCAGCACTCATTTTATAGCACTCCTATAGGATACTAATTAGCAATTAACCAGAAAAAAAAATATCTGAAAAGAAAAAAAACTTGGATTCAATACTGAATGAAGATTATAGGAATATACAACAGCTATTAATATGAGATGCAGAGCTTATAATGAAGCAATTCCTTGGCTCTGGAAATGAGAAGATAAGCAGTCTGCCAGTTCTTAACCATTTTTCACTCATAATCTTCTAAGTCCATGCTTTCTCCCATCACTCCAATCCTTCCTTCTCCCTACTCCTAGGTCTGGGCAACTATAATCCAGATCACTTAGAGCTTAAATTAAAACATTCTTCCCCTCCAAAAACAAATTCACTATGGAAACCGTGTACCTTGCAGATAAGCAGAGGGGACATTAAATTAATCCCTCTGCTTACAGATACGTATGGTTTCCTTCCAGATCTTCTGTCTATGTGCATGCAAAGACATCCCTTTTTACAGTTGGATTATACTGAATTTCTGTAACCTAAATTTTCACTGTATAATGTAATCACAATAATAACAGGCATCATAAACTGAGCATTTATTATGGCCCATGCAGTTTGCTAAGTTTTTAACATTTTGTGTCATTAAATTCTCAAAGCAACCCTATAGAATAGGTTTCACCATTATTCTGATTTCACAGATTTGCACACACACAAAAAAAATCAGGCCTAGAGAGAAACTGACCTGGTCATAATCACACAGCAAGGACTGGTGGAGCACCAGGTTTAACCCAAGTCTAAATACGTCTCGAACATTGATGGCAATGGAGGTGTAATGGCTCACAGTTACTGAGCTCTTCCTATGTGCCCAACATTGCTCTAAGTATGTGTATCATGTCATTTAAACTAAATGAGGCAGGTACTACTGTTGTTCCCACTTGAGACTTGCAGACTGAGGAGTTAAGCTCTGCCCAAGAGGAGCTGTAGACACAGCCCTCAGGGTCTGACGTCAGAATCTACCCTCCAGTTGGTTTAAAATCTGAAAACCAAAGGATGGAAATCCAAATAGCTAATGAACACATGAAAACATGGCCAAGCTTACTAGTAATCAGGATAATGTCCATTTTAGCCACAATGAAAGACAATTAGACACTCACAAGATTGGCAAAACTCAAAAGCGTAGTTAACACCAAGTGTGGATAAGGAGCTTGACTAAAGGAAGTCTGACGCCTTGCTGGTCATCGTATTAATTGGTACAACCACTTTGGTAAGTAGTTCCGTGTGACGTAGTGCATGTGAAGACACACACTCCATGCCCAGAGGCTCTCCTTGCAGGAATGTACTTACAGAAATCTTCCATGTGCAGGAGAGTCATGAAAGGGTTGTTCACAATACTCCCAAATTGAAAATAATCCAAATATATCAACTATAGAATAGGCAGGTAAATTATAGTATGTGAGCAGACTGTGAGCAAACTGACACCATGTGCAGCAATTTTGATAACATGTAATCTTGAGCAAGTAAAGCAAGACACCAAAGAAAGCAAGGAGTGGGATTTAACATATATGAGATGTATATACACACACCTACATATATGTTATATACACATACATGCTATATATACACATATACTTATGTCATATAGACAGGGGAGGGCAAAAGTATGTTTACAGTTATAATACAAATAAATAATGTAATAATTAGTAAGAAATAATACAAGAATAAGCTCTTGTGTTTAGTGTACTCACAACTGTAGATCTACTTTTGCCCACACTTTTGTGTGTGTGTGTGTGTGTGTGTGTGTGTG